ATAAAAATAAACATAATAAACAATATAACATTTGTCTTAACATAGTTTCACATTTTCTTTGGACTTCCTCACATCCCCCGCTCCCACTTTCATCGTTATAACATTTTGTCAGCAATTTATCATCTTATTTAAATTCTTATATCTCTTCAATGTTTCATAATCTTATAGTTCTCATAAAGAGTTAAACTTTCACAGTCTTACTTGTTTTCTTAAAAACTTCTAAGTTAAGTGGTGCTCAGTTATTTAGTCTAGCATCTTATTTAGCATTCACTCAAATCACAATATTTTTGTAGATAGTTCTTAAATTTCTTCCAATCCTCCTCGATTCTCTCTTCTCCCAGGTCACGGATTCTGCCGGTCATTTCAGCCAGTTCCATGTAGTCTATCAGTTGCATCTGCCATTCTTCCAGTGTGGGTAAATCTTGAGTTTTCCAATGTTTTGCAAGAAGTATCCTTGCTGCTGTTGTTGCATACATAAAAATGTCTGGTCCTTCTTTGCCACCCCTTGGCTGACAATACCCAGAAGGAAAGCCTCTGGTTTCTTGGTAAAGGTATATTTAAATACCTTTTTCAATTCATTATAAATCATTTCCCAGAACGCCTTCACTTTAGGGCAGGTCCACCAGAGGTGGAAGAACGTTCCCTCACACTCTTTACATTTCCAACACTTATTATCAGACAGGTGGTAAATTTTTGCAAGTTTAACTGGGGTCATATACCATCTATAAATCATTTTCATTACATTTTCTTTCAGAGCGTTACATGCAGTAAATTTCAATCCATTACTCCACAACTTTTCCCAGTCCTCAAACATAATATTATACCCAATGTCCTGTGCCCACCTTATCATAGCCGATTTAACCATTTCATCTTGTGTATTCCATTCCAACAGCAAGTTATACATCCTTGAAAGTACCTTAGTCTTTGGTTCTAACAATTCTGTTTCTAATTTCGATTTCTCCACCTGGAACCCTAGTTTCTTATCATTTTTAAAAACTTCTTTAATCTGAGCGTAATGTAACCAATCTCGCACTTTGTCTTTCATTTTCTCCAAACTCTGCAATTTCCAATTGTCTCCATCTTTTCTAGTATTTCCCAATATTTTGGCCATTTAGCCTCCATATTGGGTCTTTTCGGGCCTTAGCTTCCAAAGGTGAAAGCCACCTTGGTGTTTTATTTTCCAGCAAGTCTTTATATTTTGTCCAGACATTATACAATGATTTTCTGACAATATGGTTCTTGAAGGCCTTATTTGCTTTAACTTTGTCATACCATAAATATGCATGCCATCCAAAAACATTATTAAACCCTTCCAAGTCCAACACATCAGTGTCTTCAAGAAGTAGCCAGTCTTTTAGCCAGCAGAACGCTGCGGCTTCATAATACAACTTTAAGTCCGGCAGGGCAAAGCCCCTCTTTGTTTTACATCAGTTAATATCTTAAACTTGATTCTGGGCTTTTTGCCCTGCCAGACAAACTTCGAAATATCTCTCTGCCACTTCTGAAAGCACTCCGTTTTGTCCAAAACCTGAAGTGTTTGAAATAAAAACAACATCCTTGGCAATACATTCATCTTAATAGCAGCAATTCGGCCTAACAAAGAAAGTTTCAATTTTGACCAACTGTCTAAGTCTCTCTTAATTTCTGCCCAACATTTTTCATAGTTATCCTTAAATAGACTTAGATTTTTTGCTGTTATGTTTACCCCTAGGTATTTTACTTTTTAACCACATTAAGTTCCGTCTCATTCTGAAACCGTTCTGACTCTGTATCAGTCAAATTTTTCCCCAAAACCTTAGTTTTCTGTTTATTTAATTTAAATCCCGCCACCCGACCAAAATCATTAATCAATTGTAATACTCTTTTCGTACTGGGCTCTGGCTTCTGCAAGGTCAAAACCAGGTCATCTGCAAAAGCTTTTAGTTTATATTGTTTCTGACCAACCTGAATTCCTTCCACCAACCGATCCCCTCTAATCATGTTCAGTAGCACTTCCAGAACCGAAATAAATAACAAAGGGGAAATAGGGCAACCTTGTCGTGTCCCTTTTTCAATTTTAAACTCTTCTGTGACCACATTATTAACTATCAGTTTAGCTTTCTGTTCTGAATATATCGCCTCAATCCCATTCTCAAAACCCCGTCCCACTCCCATCTCTTTTAAATTTCCCATCATAAATTTCCAGGAAATATTGTCAAAGGCCTTCTCCGCATCTATGAAAATTAAAACTGCTTTTGTATTTATATCTGTTTGCAGAAGTTCCAAGATGTCAATAATGTTCCTTGTGTTAGCAAACAGATGTCTACCTGGGAGAAAACCGGCCTGGTCCTTATGAATTACTTCATTTAATACTTTTTAAATCTACTTGCCAAAATATCTGCAAATATTTTGTAATCCACATTTAAAAGAGAGATGGGACGGTAGTTCTTCAGTTGTGTCTTTTCAGCTTCTGACTTTGGTATTAATGTGATGAACGCTTCCTTCCACGAATCCGGTGCCCTCTTCCCCTCAATAATTTCATTGCTGACCTCCATCAAGGGTTGTATCAAATAGTCTTTTAATGTCTTATAATACTTGGAGGTCAGCCCATCTGGCCCTGGAGATTTGCCAAGTTGCATGTTCTGAATAGCTTGTTCAATCTCCTGTCGTGTTATTTTAGAGTTCAGGATTGTCCTGTTTTCTTGTGACAATTTAGATAGTCCATTTTTGGCAAAAATTGTTTAATCTCAACTTCGTCTTGCGGCCCTTGGGTGTATAATTTTTAAAATATCTCTGGAAACACTTTCTAATATCCACTGGATTCTGAATGTTTTTTCCATCAACCTCTAAGTTTGTAACCGTGTTTAATCTTTGTCTTCTCTTCAACTGCCAAGCTAGCAGTTTTCCACATTTATTCGCCGACTCAAACGTTTTTGTTTCATTAATTTAACCTTCCATTCAATTTCCTGATTTATCAATTTAGAATATTGTGTTTGATAGAGTTTAATTTCTCTCAGAGTTGGCTGTGACTTTGGATTCGCTCTTAATTTCTTCTCTAATTCTTTTAATTTGTCCAAGATCTTATCTTTTTCTCATTTTGTGTTCTTTTCTTTACTACATTCTGTTGTATCAAGAATCCCCTCATTACAGCTTTGCTTGCGTCCCAGACAATTCTTTTTTCCACCGAATTGTTCATGTTTATCTCAAAATAGTCCTTCAAAACTTTTTGGGCCTTCTTGGTAATTTCCTGATCTCTAAACAAATTGTCATTCATCTTCCATCTAAAGGATCCAGTTGGTAGTAGTGTCATATCCATCTTTACTGCATTATGGTCAGAGCAGGTCTTTGGGCAGATTTCCACTTTTCTGACCTTAGGTGCCAGGCCTCTGGAAATCCATATTTGGTCGATTCTTGTCCAGGTCAGTTGGGCTTCAGAAAAGAATGTTCCTTCTCTACCTAGTGGGTTCTTTGTCCTCCAAATGTCAATCAAATCCATATTGTCAGTCATTTCAAAAAAGTTTTAGGTAGTCTGCCGTCTTTTGTAACATTTTGACTTTGTGACTTGTCCATGTTAGTTGACACGACCCCGTTCATGTCTCCCATCATTATGATGTTGTTGTAATCCAGATATTCCAGCATTGTCCCCTGCAGCTTCTTGTAAAATTCCGATTTCCCTTCGTTAGGTGCATAGATTCCTAATATCAACAGTTTCTCTCCTTGATATTGTATCTCAATGGCCAAAATTCTTCCATGTTCATCTTTAAATAAGAATTTA